TTGTAAAGAAGTGCCAATCAATTCTATCGTCAAATCCAGAACCCATTAGTATTAGTCACGCTAACCCCGAATACGTGACAGTTTTTCCAAAAACAGGTAATGTTTCTTCTCCATTGCTCTAAACGTTGTTTTGGTATACATAAGAAGGCCAGGAAACCAGTTGGGAGTAAAATTGAAAGGGGCGCCTCCGCTTCCAGTGTCAGTCTACTGGGTAAACAGGTAAAGCTATCCCTGTAACAGGCCGTGGAGGCTCCCAGCTCACAGATGGCGGTGATTTTGTCAGCCATACACGCGGACCAGCTTTTATCCCATGAAGATTACTGGTACTCATTTCTGTTAGAGACTGAGTAGTCCTCAAGTTCGTAGTTCTGCTGGAAGGTTAGGTCGACTGATAATCGAATGACGAGATAACGTAAATACCAGAAGCTCTAATTGCCGATAGTAAGTAAGTCTAATGTATCCTTCGAAAATGTGGCGAGTTAAAAATCTGTGAATCAGAATGCAATTAATGAGGAAATTAAGAGCAGATTTAAACCAGGTAATGCTTGCTACTGGGCCGGTCACGGTAGCCGAGCGGTCTAAGGCATGCACTGTCTTCGCTCGCTCGGAAGCCGGGATCGTGGGTTCGAATCCCACTCAGGGCATGGATGTTTGTGTGCGTTTTTCTGTGTTTGTCTACAGGTACAGGCCTTGCGACAAGCTGATCACCCGCCCAAGGAGTCCTACAGTATGTCTAAGGTCTAGTAAACCGAAGTGAAACGAGAGTTTCATGGAGGTAGGCCTAGGCCCAAACGAGGGCTGTAGCGCCAATGAAAAAAGAAAAAAAAATCCTTGCTACTATTCAGTTCGAAACTTCTGTCTTCTCTGCTGCTGAAATGCATACAAATTATATTTAGATTGAGGTGTGTAACTTTCCCTTTAAAAGTAAGGGAGCAACGTGGCCTGAGGGTGCTCGAGAGCAGGACGCTGCGGAGAGTATTTGGACGAAAGCTGTAGAAAATTGTATAATGAGGAACTCATTGTCAAATATAACTAGAATAATCAAATCGAGGAAGACGAGATTGGCACGGCATGTGGCATGCATGGGGAAGAGGAATGTTCACAAGATCTTGGTGGGAAAAGCACAAAGTAATGGACCACTAGGAAGACCTAATCTTATGTGGATGGATATTATTAAAGTGGATCGTAGGGGAATGGAATGGACCAGATTAATCTGGCTCAGGATAGGGACAATTTGCAGGGTCTTGTGAACACGATAATACTCGTATATCTTCGGGCTCCATAATGTGTTGGTAAATACTTGAGGTGGTGAGCAACTGGCGGCCTCTGGAGAAGAACTCAGATCCGTGGAGTACCCCACGTGAAGTTTGTGTATGCCGCTTTCGAGTTCCTGCTGCCGGCGTCTCATGCAGCTGTTCCAGTTTAAATTCGATGAATTTGCACTTCTTTGTTTTAAAGGCCACTAAATTACGGTTCGCCATTCATTCAGAAAATCTGAGTTCCTAGTGCCTTCACTCACGGCTTCTAACCGTCCTAATTAATATCTCCACTTTCTTTCTACCCTTATGAAAAGGCCGAGCGGGCGAAGCCTCTTCCTCTCCTAAAGAGAGAGTCTGTCTTTTGTCCTGTCATTTTTCTCTTTTCGCCTGATATTCTACTCTTCTTTCCTTTCATTCCCGAACATTGTTTGGTCTTGACTGAAGCTGGAAACCAGAACAAACCTTCGGGAGGATGATATTCAACGCGGAGGCCCAAACGTCTACACATGAGACTAGCAGAGCAAAATAACCATCAACCACCTCACATAAACACATGGCTTGCTCATGGTTGGTTGTCCCAATGGTACTGTGAGTAGTTGGTCGTTGATTGCCTGATTCAGAAGTTTTGTTTTGTTGTTCATCAACTTGTTCGCGAAACCTACCACTTATCGCTACCCTGTACCACTTCATACAAGTGGGTCACTCTCTACTTATCTAGCACCAATTTTAATATTGTCACGCGTATGGATGTCTATAGACGGGTTTTGGATTAATGATCTGCTTTACTGGACTCTTTAATACAGCGCGTGACTACGTTTTACACTTCACTATCACACACACACACACACACAGACACAGTCACATCTTCATTGGCCACTGTTCGGTAGCGGCTCCCAACGGCGGGCTTTTCCCTTCCACTGGGTTCCCGAACTGTTCCCCCCTCAGCTACCGGCTTCTCACAGCAACAGCTCTCAACGACTGAACCTCATCGGTTGTCTAACTCATTAACTCAGCTCAACTCAGCTCAACTGACTTTCACTAACTGTCCTTATAATATTTCGGCACGGACATCACAGAAAGCACCGTTCCAATATTGCTGTGCAATTATTGCCTTGGAAACATGCTTGTTTTCGAAGCCGTTACTTGCAACGTCTGTCTTATAGCTGCTTCTTTCGCGGTCGTTGCCTAGCAACGGGTCTACATGCTAGAATATTATATTCCCATCTAAATTTTAGTTTCCAAAGCAGTCTCTTCGGTTTCTCAACCAAGTTTTTATATCAATGAGCAGTACTTCACCCCCACCCTCACCTCACCGTTATCGATTCAGTCGCTTTCTGAAGTTTCTTCTTTTGTAATTGCTTCCATTATCCACTCAGTTCCTCTTGCCAAAGTCACGCTTTTGCTTCAAGTTCCGGAAATCCCGGCTTTGAACCCCGGGCTGCAGACTGATTATCGTGTTTCAGGGCGTCTGTACTTTCTTTCCTCTCCAGACGAACGAACAGAAACTCCTCAGAGTAAGCCAAGACCGTTTGACTTCACTTCTTGTTCTCTAATCAACAGGATATTCGCCACATCACGTGGATGCAGGCAGTGTTGCCAACGTTTAGAGGTTTGAAATGAGTATGGTGTTCATGTTATGTCGATTGCTGGTCCAAAAGACTATGGAAAGAAGTGTGAAGGCTGTTCCCACTTGCCAGGACCGGGTGTCAGCCCGCAAAGCTTGACCAAAAACTATGCATATTGTGACATGCTCGTCCGTTGCTAGGCTACGACAGCGAAATGAGCAGCTACGCAACAACCGTTAGTAATTAACGGCTTCGCAAGCAAGAGTTTTCCACAGGAATAATTGAAATCTTGAAGGAGGAACGGTGTGTTCGATGCAGTCTGTACCGACATGTTATAAGCTAAACAGCTGGAGCCATCAATTAGTTGTGAGACAGTCGCCAGCCGGTAAGAACGTGAGCACAAAAGCAGGGAACATTGTTGGGACCCGTCACTAGGCAACAATTGGTAGAGGCACACTAGACTGAAAATACTTATTACGTGATGCAGTGAATTGGAGAGTTACGCTAATTAGCGACAGCACTGTAATTACTTGTATGACGATCTGTTAAGAGTTCAGTAAATCAGATTACCAATCCAAACACCGTCAATAATCATGACTATATATACCTATACATACATACACGAATGCCTATCTCATTTCTACCATGGAGGCAGCGTGTACCTGCATACAGCCCTAGAGTAGAAGGAGCGCTAACAGTGAACCACTGCGAAAGCCAAGAGTCGGTCCGTTTTTGTGCAGAGAAATATGGCTCACAGTCGCACCGCTGGCGAGGGTCCTATATCGTTAAATTATATTTGTGTGCCCGTTAGTACAAAACCGACATGAGCCCTTGATGCCCTGCCCTACTTCCGATGTAGAGAATTACGGAAAATGCAACACCCCCGTCTCGAACTCAGACAGTCTGGTTCTCACTAATCACATTAGCTGTGCTCTTCTCAGTCATTAATAACGTGATCCTGAAACTTAATGAAAACTGAACCGAAAGATATATGATACACGCCACCAGACTTCATCTTGATGTTGAACCCGAGCGAACAAAGGCATAAGGACCTTTGTGCGCTGTTGCTTCAAATCAATTTCATATTAACTTTCCCTGCGGTGATTATTTCCCAAACCACAGACAAGGAAGGGGGCTTGAAACAAGCACCTTACAAATTCCTTGCTATTTGTTTCGGCAATATACGTATATAGAGCGGTACAGACCTACCTGAATATTGCAGCTTACAGCCACAGGTTGGATCTGCAAGCACATGCATAACATTCGTTGGTTTCACTCAGACACGATAACGAATGCATTTCACAATTTAATATAATTAATAACCAACAAAAATGCCCCCTCTTTGCCCTGAATACGGTTGCATATCATACGAGTATTACGTACCTACACATCGCAGCCGTGGCTCCCGTGCATATTGGCAGGACCAAGGAGTGTTCTTTAGTAGGTCCGCGACAGGAAAGTTGTTCAATTATTTCTATAAACAAGCAAGCTCATGCCCTGGTTAGCGTCAGTGCAAGACTTGGGTTGCTTCTCCCATCGATTCTGTCATGTATACGGGTATATATATGATGATGATGATGTATCATGCAGATGTGACGGGTGAATATTATTACCGATGGAGCGCAATTCTACAGCAACACAAACAATAGCTTTATTTTATTTTAACATTTAGTTCTTTACTGGCAGTGCGAATCCTGGTATGCTGAGGGGGTTGGGGAGGGGGAATATTCTTTAGGTACGACTGTACTGTACTGTACTACAAACACTATGCAGACACATGTCTGGAGTAACTGAGGAAGATCATGGAAACTTCGAGTGAGATTAGGCGGTGTCCTAGCTGGAATTCGCAACGAGCTCCTTCTGAACTCAAGATGAATATTACTTTTGTGCCAGCACATTCCGTATGAGGCTCTAAAAGTAATATTTATTTCTTTATGGTTTATTTAATGACGCTGTCAGCAGCTACGAGTGTACACTGTAGAAGGCCGCAGTCCTCGCCCAGTCGCGGTTCTATCCCTTCATCTGTCTAGTGTGACTGGGTAAAACTACGAAATCTCGCAGTCTGGGTAGCCGGTTGGTTTCCCAGTTGAGACTTGAACTGGTCAGCAGCAAAATACGAAACAGAAAGTTGCCGCTAGGCGGGAGCAGAGTCTCTAATATGAATCTGTGTTCGCAGCCCTGTCGGCGAGCAGACGGAACACGCTAAACACCAACGCCAACACTACGACGGAGGGCCAACTGCGATCGCGACGGAAAGCTGCGAAGATGCTGGTTGCTGTGGTTATCATGTTCGCTGTCTGCTACTTCCCTGTTCATCTGCTCAACATTCTCAGGTACAGTACCATGGCTAGCTTTTGTGCTCCCGATCATGAGCCTAGCGTTTCTGCCTGATCAGAGACGTGAACACCCTCTGCTTATGCGTTCATACATTTGTAACTGCACCACTGTCCAAAAAGCAAGTAATTCAAAGATTGCGTGTGCCTTGTTGTGCCCTACACAATCGGAAATACCAGCTCTGCTCCCTGGGTATGCTTGCTTTCCTAGCACCTGACCTTAAGGAAGGACTGACAGCCAAATTCATAAACTGTAACGCCGTTCTGTTTACCGCCTGCTTCTTCGTGGTTTCTGCTTGGCTTACCCTTCGATAGTTAAATGGAGACCGCACAGCGCCATAGCCCAGAAGTCACCGCTGTTAAAACCTCACTCGTGCCGAACATGATGAACAGGAACAATGGCGCCATCCCACAGTTTTTCCACAGGCACGCTTTGCTCAAGTCCGTCCGTTCCTCGCAACTGCTAGAAACAGATTGCCCGAAACGGCCTTTTCTCCGAATATCAAAATTCAACTTTTTTTCAGGTCGCGAAAAGGCTGCCTAGGTCGGCAACTTGCTGGACATTTCCTGTCGCGCGAAGCGAAACTTGACCAGGTCTTTCCACTGATGCGTAAACAGTCTTTTCTAAAGACAACTCAGTCGACTGAGAAGGAGTGCGAAGAGTCAGCCGCGGCTCTGTCTCCTCGCCTTCCGGCGTCTCAACCTAAGTATCCCATCTTACAAAAATCATACGTAATGTCTAATGAAATGGGCACAACAGTGAATTGTTTAACGAATGCGCACTACTTAACGGCGAGAGAGAGTGACGTTACATGTAGTCCTTGCTCTGAAGTCCAGTTGTACCCGAACTACTCTACCCAGTCCTTTGTGTTCGGGAAGAACAGTGACATTTTTCATGGTTTTCCTCAGTCCCTCCAGTTAAATTCAGAGGAGACCACAAACGGTTTCTTTCACATTCCTTCCAATGAATTATTCACTAACCACTGTGTCATTCCGCGTTATAACTTCTGCGGCACTGAGAGAACCGTTTCTTACAGCATTAATTCGTATACAGCCATACCTGGCATAGTCCGGCTTCACTATAGTCCGGTTTGAAAATTTCAAAACAAACTAAATTTTAATTGAGCAAAATGAAAATAAATTCTAAAAAATTAGTACATAAAATTATTTTTAATACATAAATGATCGTTTTTTCCCCTTTATACAGTCAAGTCTCTTTTTGTGCGATTTAGTTTTATGTGGTTTTAAACTTATGTGATACGATACATATTTCAATTTTTTCTGGGGTTCCCCGCTGTATATGTATGTACCTATGCTCGGGTCGTTCGTTCTTGAGCTCTGACAGCTCTCGCTGGAGGAGGTGGAACTTTGGAAGAGCTACATCAGAAACGTTATCGCAAATACAGGCGAAGCATGGCATGAATTACGGCAAGCAATATGAGGGCAGTATGGAAACATATCGTACCCCATCGTGCAAATGATTTCATTGGTTTTGAAACTCAATTCGCTGAAGTCACTAATAACACAGTGGAAATTGGACAGCAACTTGGTTTCAGTGAGTTATATTCCGTCAACGCAATTGAGTGCAGCAAAGCGAACACTAATGAACTAGATAATGAAACACTTATTGACACAGATGAACAACAGGAGGACAGTTTGCGACAATCCCAGGCTTCACAGTGAAGCAGCGCCTGCCAAATGCACTCCCACTGAAGCCTGTGAAGTCTGAGGTTTCGGCCATACCTGTTAGCCTTCTGCTGTGACTGCCCGTTCACCTCAAGAAAATGGAAACCATGAAAATTCTGGACTCTGAAATTCTCTTACTTCAACTCGAAATGAGATGTCAGGTCTAAGGCTCTGACACATGTCATTCGTCTTCAGAAAGAGATTCGTAGACAGAAAAGAAAGGAAGTCGCTGTTTTGGCTGATGCAGGGGCACGCGACAAGACAGCTTATTCAGTGCTAGCCAAGAAAAATCATAAAAACCCAAACAATTAAAACGAACGTTAGAAACGTCTTCTCTGAAGCGAAGGCAGTTGTATTGAATGAGCGAAATGTTGCGCCCCTGCAGAGTACATCACGTGTAGGAGGTGGGCTCACAGATTCACGGACCCCTAGGTTTGCAATGCCTGCAGCTTTGATGGCGACACTGATGACTTCACGTCTGCAGAGTCGTGTGATGGGGTAACTGCAATTGCTGAAGATAATGCTGTGTATCCTTAATATGTAATCATAAATCGAAAATCTGAATTCTATTCTTTAGACAACTCAGATTAAATTTAGCATATATAATTAAGTAAAATACGAAAACTGTAATTAATTATACATGTTTATACTAATCAAATAAATATAATAAAATGTAGGGGTGCACTTACGTCGCTTTTAGACAGTAGCGTAACATTTAACCCTAGACAATGTAACAACGTACTTCGAACTGTTACGTTATACAGAGTCCTAAAGAACTGAAAATATTTGTAAAAAGTGAATTATGGGAATAATGTAATATATTTATTTAAAGACCAATAACATCGCTGTTATTGTGCATCCCTGTTATGTCCATAGATATAACACTCACACAACAACAACAGTCACAAAATTTGTAACACCTGGCCCCGAACTACTCAAATTCTTACCCATCTGATCCATACTCAGAGCACATAAGCGGTCGTGCTGTCGAGTTTGGTATAAACGTAGTTGTCATTCCAAAGCTCTTGTAATTCTTTAATTGTTGAATTTCTTGAGGAAGTATTAGAGTCCTTCGGTTTGGAATTAGACGGGATTTATGCAGTGAACAATAATACAATTGTTCGTTTATCCTGTGCGTTATTTCGCCCTTACCCGCTTGTACCCGGCGAGTGGTTCACACCAGACAGCCATCCGAAAGAAACAGCTTCACTCTCAAATGCATCATGAAATATGTAACTGACCAGTCTGTTCAGGGTTTGTCTCCTGCTTATACAGATACACGATGGACATTCCGAGTTCAGATGCCATGGTCACCATCGCGCTGCTGTCCCATTGGTTGTGCTATGCAAACAGCGCCGTGAACCCCGTCATCTACAACTTCATGAGCGGTAAGTACACTGTGCGACTGAACCCGCCTTTACCACTACGTATGAAAGCCCGTGTGGTTTTGGTGCTTTTCGCAAGCAATTCTATCTCAGTTTGTTGTATGTGCATTTGTCGGCGTATAAGATGCATATGCTTTCCTCTAATCTTCTCACTGAGGGCAGATTACACTCAGGCGCAGTGGTAACTGCCTACACCAACCCTTTTAACAAGGAGAAACTCTGAATTCTACTCAGGCACTTCACTTACAACCACCGATTACTTCCCTGAGTTGTGGTAGCTATTTGTAATGGGGGCGCAACATGTTTACTGGGTTCCCCCCCCCCATCGGTTGAGGCTGAGTCCACTCGCTACTGCGGCCACTGATTGACCTGTTCTACCAGCCCGACTTGATAGACGACGATGATTTTGGAGCAATCGGTGGAATACAAATTGGCAGGGGCAAACCTGCCCCATTGCCGCGGTGTCCACCACAAACCCCAAATTACCTGACGTGGGATAGAACTCGTGCTGCCGCGGACGCCTGAGCTATGACGCGGCCCATGATTTAGAAGTAATTATATCAAAATTAAAATATGTGGTTGTCGGGAAATGCGTCTTACACATCGAAAAATCAGGAAATTCTTATTCTACTGTGCAGTTCAAGTTACGCACACGTATTCGTCGTGTATAACAGTTCTTCACAGATGACTCCACAGTGGAGCCGTCTATGGGTACAGAACCATTTTCGTGGAACTGTTCAAATGAACTCCATTATGGAGCCATCTATGAAGAACTAGGAAACTTAATGCCATCTATGCAGCAGTGCTAATATTCATCTCATTGTGGACCCATCTACGGATAAGTGTCAAAATTGTTTACTGATCTATCGAGAACTGTTTTTTCCAGGTAAATGTATACACAAAAGAGACCTGAGCAGTGCCCATCCGGCCCTCTGTAGCACATTCTTATAAACATCTTATTTTATCTTAGCGGGCGCTCCGCGATTTTTGAATATACCTCTTAACTTAACTTGGGAATTTTGTTTATAAAGTAACAGACACCTTGAATAAATTTTTCCTCTAGCCTTAAGAGCTCTGTAACTGACTGGGTATTCTTTTGTGCTGTTCTCAGACAGAATGTCCATCGTCATGTTGCCCTTTGGTCGTCGTACAGTTTACAGTTCCAGAAATGATTTTTATTTAAAAAAATCATATACAAAAATGGCCTTTAGTGGCCATCTTGCCTTCTTTAGCACATTCTTATAAACATGTTATTCTGTCATAGCCCAGAACTGTTAAACTTCATTTTATTATGGAGCATCTATGGAGAAGAGATAAACTTACCTTCCTTATGGGCCCATCTGTAGGACCCTGTGTAACACATTGCTGTGTGATGAGTGTCATGACACGGTGTATGTTTAGTTGAAATGTGAGTGGCCGCAACGGTTTTCCAAACAACGGTCCAACTTTCATAAATCCTTTCATGAGAACAATGTCATTCGTGGCCTTCATAACATCTTGCTTTTATTTACTTAAACCTATAAATCAAATATGGCCCTAGAGTGAACTTCTGAAGTGTGAGCTGCACTGGCGCCTGAACCCTGGAATGTCGTATAACGATGGGTTTTCAGTAAAATTCAACCAGAATTTGGAGCACTTTTATGTCCGACGTGCAATAAAAATGTTTCAGCCAAATCAACATTCACCGGAAAGTGACAGATCCTTTACGCATGACATGCAGGGCCGCAAACTAAAATCCTGTATGAAACTGCTTGCACGCCTGTGTCACATTGTACCTTGATTTGTGCATGATCATGGCTTCGTCCTAGCATCACCACATTCCACCAGACGAAGTTCGCAGTTCCTGTTCCTGTCATGTTTCTTAGAGCCTGCTTACCAATTCAGTTTGCATGTAATGTTAGTGTACTCCATTTTGTTGGATACTTTCAGGACGTCTTAGTATGTTAACTCTCTAAAGCACAGTGCTTAATATATGCACCACTTGCTTCAGTAGAAAGAAATTGTTCCAGTCTTTTCATGTTTCTCAGAATGGACGGCTGTTGCTTTCATAATGCAACGTGTTCCTGCGAGGTGAAACTGAGTGGCTGAAAATTGTATGCAGAAATTTCAGGTTGTCGAATTCCACTTGAGGCATGGATGCCTGTGTACATTTATTTTGTGCTTGTGCCGTCCTGTGTTCAGGTAGCGGCCTTGCGACGGGCTTATTTTCCGTCTAAAGAGTCCAATCGACTCTGTAAAATATCAAGAAAACTGAAAAGCGTTCAAGGTACAACAAAGGACTGTAGTTGTATAGATAGATAGACAGATTGAGAGAGAGAAAAAAGTTGGAAGGTCAGATCAGTGTTGCAGAAGTCCACGTCACCCACCTCCAATATAAGCGAGAAGGAGTTGAAAGCTGTGAAGTCCTTGATACTCAACAAAGATATCAGGATCCTGCCAGCAGACAAGGGCAACTGCACGGTGGTGCTAGACAAGGTTAACCCCCTGCTGAAGTCGGGTTTATGAGCCCCTGTCCAAAGATCCTACAGCCAAGGTTGAGAGAAGAGTTCAGCAAATCCTTGCCAAATATAAAACTGTCCTTCCGGCCGAGGTAAAGCTGACCCCATATCACAGCAAGCCTCCACACCTATATGGACTTCCCAAGATTCACAAACCAGATTCATGAGAAGCGTGCAATGCAGAGTGGAATTTGCTATAGGACCGCGAAAAAGTATGGAAATTTGATCGAGTTGCCTGGTCGCAGGAACTTCCGGATCCAAACTGACCTCTCGCCACCGGAGCAGCACCTACAAACAAGAACTCTTAAAGCTGTCTCAACAGAGCTCGTTTCTTTTGCATACTTTGAGCAACGACCAGTACTGGGTTGCGCATGCAAGGAAAATATAGACCATCCTTACATATATGTGTGTGTGTGTGTGTATATATATATTGTAACGTGTCTGCAATCCAGGAGAGGCACTTCTATGGAAACACCAGAACAGACCGTTGCATAAGAGGTAACAATAGCGATACTGTAATTCCAACAGTGAGCCGTTGTACCGAGAACATCGAATCTCCACGGTTACGACAAACAAGCGTAGCGTCCCACAGAGACAACGCAATAACAATGGGTCATTGCGTAGGAAACGCTGAACAAACAAAGCAACGTCTCCACGGTTATAACAGAGGGTTCGTTACCTATCAGCGGCCAAGGTTATAAAAGCCCAATTTCGACGAGAAGTAGTCAGTCTCGGAAGAGCCAGCTAAGAAGCCAGCCGTCATCAAGCCTCCGGAGAAGAAAGTCTCGGATCAGCATTCGGAGAAGAGAGTCCAGTGCCTCGCCGAATATTGTAAGCAGTGATTGTGACACTGCAAGTGAAAATGCCTGTAAAGTGTATAAGTGGGCGAAGGAAATAAATTCGCTATATTGGGACGACGGCGTGAACTTATTTGTAGCGTGACACACAAAACACGCTACATTGGTGTCAGAAGTGGGATCGAACTACACACGTGACTGACAAGATTCGAACTCAATACGCTACAATATATATATATATATACAGAGAGAGAGAGAGAGTAAAGGAGCTATAGTTCGGATAGAGTGGTTTCCTTAGGAAGTGGCAGAAGCAATGTTCTCGAAGGGGGAGGGGCGTAGCAGGAACTTGTGCCTCCTTCCCGACCAATTTCTCAGCAAGAGTAGATTGAACGTTGAAGAAACCACGTCGTTTTTACCGTTAGTGCATGGGTTTCTGTCAATTCTGTTGTTACGAGTATATTTTCATTTACAGAGTTCGGGACTCGAAACTATAGGTGAGTGTGAACTTTCACACGACTTACATGAACTTGATTGTGTAGAGGAAGGCATGTGCGTGTATATCGTGTATTATCCGAAAGCTTCAGTTGTCACGTACGCTATCAAGTTTAGATTTGAGCGGGTTTCCTAATTTCTGATAACTAAAAAGTTTACTACTTTCGGGTATCGAAAATAGGAACAGTGCTTTACATAGTCTTGGCTTTTATTCCTTCTTAGATGGGTGACAGAAAAAGAAAAGAATGGCTGACTTCGTGCGAAGTGAAGTGCAGCTCTGCGCGACACGGAAATTGGGTTTCTAAAAGTTGCAGGAACTTTTAACTTTCGAGGTTTACTTTGATGGACTCTGTAAACGGTGCTGGCTCCAAGGAAAAACTGACCGTTTTCTGCAATTGGTAGAAAAAGTGCCTTGGTTAATAAAATGGAGACTTTACTTGCCAACTGCTCTCAAACAATGGACAGTAGATATCTTGGGCTAGGAGACAAGAAAATGTATCACCTTGCTGCGAAAAATAACATACAGCGCCCTTTCTCAGAATGTAAGGGAGTGGCTAGAAAATATGGTTCACGAATTTCGTAAGAAGACGTCGATAATTAGCTTTCAGAACTCCTTAGCTGATATCTTTACCGAGTCAGACGTCTCTCGAAGGAAGTAATAAAGCTTTCTTTGATTGCTTAAATCACAATTTGAGAAATTTAAATCTGATCCGCCAAAAATATGCAGCCTCGATGATGCAGGAATCTCCAGTGCTCAAGGCACAAGAACGATTGTTCCCTCTCTTAAGAGGTAAGACGAAAGTCGTAAGATTGTCCTCGGCAGAATGGGATTTCTCGATGAAAATGGTGACATGCATGAGTGCTACTGGCATTCGTGCCCACGGTCACTGCATTTCTCAGGACCAGACTGAAGCCCCCCACCCCTCCCGGGAGCACCGGCCGCATGCCAACCATCACGATGGATCAATCTCATTCACCTGAGCCCTTCTCGAGAAGCCGCCAATTCTGCAGCTACTCAAGAACTTCCCAGCATTTTATGGAACCCGAAGATTAATTTCGGTGTTCACAACAGCCCTCCACTGGTCCCTATCCTGAGCCAGATCAGTCCAACCCATACTACCTCGTTCTATCTCTCTAAGACCTCTTTTAATATTGTTCACTCACCTACGTCTTGGTGTTCCTGGTGGTATATTTCTTCTGGCTTTCCCACCAGCAT